TGATTGCAGCCATTTTTCAAGTGGCAACCCTCAACTTTCTGGGGCACTTAGGACCATTTTTCAACCATAGTTTTCAGCCCTTCTGCCCTCATATGAAAGCTCAATGACCCAGGGAGTTGATCCCAGCAACGATTTACACAATCTCACCATTTTGGGGGCCAAACAATCTCCTTTTTCAAAAGATACTGTAGGGGCACTTTTAATGCTAATGAGGTGGTCAGAAATTCTCACTTGAATTAGTGGTCTGACCCCTATGGTCATTCAGGGTTATTGGCCTGGGGTGGCCAGCAGATGCAACTGGAGGAGATTTATTACTCCTGTCAAAATTCCAAACCCCTAGGCCTGATTAGCCGATGGACAGTACAAATGTCCCGACCTTCCCTCCCACAAATAAAACATGTGTCTACCGAGAATAATGAATTTCATCTTGCAGAGATAAAATAGATTATACTAAACTATGATTTTTAATTATTACAACAGATAAAATTAATATCTAGAATATTAATTATTAATTATCCTGATGGCTTTGAATGATTTTGCCAGGCAGAGATCTATGGATTTCAAGCCAGCACCACCATCTTTTAACCCAAAACCATAAAATACCGTACACATACAAGCTGCATACAAATGACTGAGCATCTACAACGACAAACAAAATTTATTTTAATTGACTTACTTATTTTCTTCAGTTCATCTCTTAGCTTGTTAATTTTTCGGTCTATTCTGGCGAACTTAGGAAATTCTTCTTTCACATGAAGTTTTGATTGTTCTTCGACCAGGTTTTTCATCTGAACCTTAATACTTCTCTCCATCTCACTGTCTTGAAAGAGGACTTTCATTACCTGCCATGGCAAACATGTAAAATACTAAATAAAGATGGTGTATAAACATTTCTTTCATTCATATATATCTGACATCCCAGTACATGCATCAGGTTGATGGCCGACTGTTGTATATCAGCTAGACCATTCTCAGAAGGGGGGGAATGGAATCTTGTTTTCATCACACAACCATCCTGCATGTGT